ATGCCTTTTTCCTGTTAGGTTGTTGGGATAGCTCTCTCAGTGAGGCTAGAGCCCTTTTTGCCTGAACCGTTTGCTACACCTGTTGCTCTTTACCTTAGCTTCTCATGTCAATATCGGTATCACCATGGCGGTGATCTCGAACTCGAGATGATTCTTCTTGGAAATAGTGTTGGTTGCTAGTAACACTCTAGCTTAGTAAAGGTAAAATACTGTTTTACTGTTAAGCTATTTCCAAGAAGTGATCTTTCTCCATGTATTTCTGGGATTGATTCAACTTCAAAGGATATAGTGAAGGGGGTGACCATATAGGTCAGTTAAACTCCCCATGTATGTAACTAGAGAATAGATATAGATATCCCCTATAACTAGATTGGGATAAACGACTAATTTGTATTGAGGTGTCTGTAATACAACCTCCAACACCTCGTAGTGTTCCTCGATTTGGTCGGGTCCAAAGTTCTCCTTCCAGTCTCCCAATTCGATATCCATCTTGCGAGGTCTTCCAGTGGTGGATCGGTACTTCCAAGTGTTGAGGGCTTGGGTTAGGGCATCCAGCTGTTCGAGCTGTACCCAAGTGATCTGCTTGGGTATCCCTTCTTCCTTCCACTCCTCCGCGGCCTCCTTGCTGAAGTTGCGGATCAACTTGGTAGGGGTAGTGATACTCATACCCCAAATGAACAGTAGTAGTTCAAGGGAGCACTCCCCGCATTCCATCACGAGGTACTCCATGATTTCGAAGCTCTTCCTTTCCCTGGGGGTCATTTCCGCGATGAAGCCGGCCAAAGCTTCATCCCTTGCTAGGTCCAGGCTGGCCTTGGAAGGGCTGTCATCATCTTCAGATGCCATCTTGTCAGTTACTCAGAACAACACGAACTTTTAATCTGGCAAAGTCTTGAGGTCAGCTCAAGACAGGTTTCAAGGTAGTTTGGGTGCAAATAGCAGGTGCTATCAGGTGCAATAGGTACAATCCTTTGTCCTGGTCAACAGGTACACTTATTTGTTATGCTAAACTAAGAATTGTGAGCACACAGGGCTCCTAAAGTCAAATACAGTGGCACATTTCGAATGGCCGCGAAATGGGACTTCCTACAGGTCGAAAACAGGACTTCCAGCCACTCTTTGCATATAAACCTTCATCCAAGACTTCACCTTCTTCCATATAGGTGCCGTACGAACCAATGAGAGGTCCTTCCTTGACCTTTCTGGGGCGTCCTCGACCCTTCTTGAAGCTTTTTAGGTAAGGTTCAGTTGTTTCGAATTTTTTTGGGTCAAGCATGGGGACATTCGTCACGCATGTTTTGCTTAGGCATTTCATGAATTCAATCATTACCAAACACATTCCAAAGCTGTAATGGGCGATTGCCTGGACAAAGGGAGTTTCGTTCTTTCCGTTGTTATGGTTAGTCAAAAAGGTAGAAAAAGCATTGATGATCTCATGGGCCGATTGGAACAGTTGGTATGGAGCCTCGTCCTTTTTGGGTTGCTTCTCATTAGGCTTCGCTTTCTTGTTGGTGGCTGTCTCTGGCGCCGTCGATGCCGCTTCCTTCTTACGTTTACTACCACTTTTCTTAGAAGGCGACATGGTGAGGTAACTTTGATTTTGAAACAATGAGAATGAAGGGTCCACGATGGCAACACGCACAACGCGAGAGCTACTACTAACGGGGATGCCAACAAGAACAACGCGTTACATGGGTTTTAATACTAACTGCTAACAGGTAATCGTACCCGATAGGGGATGCACGCGCTCTAAACAGTACCCGATAGGGGATGCACGCGCTCTAAACAGTTCGGTGTCATTGGACACACAAATGCTTAGCCTTAATGAGACAACGAATAGTATCTTTCCATTAGCACCGAAAAGGTTGGGGATACAATGTAAAAGTGAGCTAAAACAGTTTGCAAAGCTGGTATTATTTTGCCGACACGACGGTGGTCGCAAAACGGGATGCAGGTTAAGCAAACTCTTTGGACTAGAACCAACCCCTGACCAGGAAAGTGACGATTGATCACTTCGTTCCCAAGAGATGCCGCATCAAATGGACATCGTGGTCGGATATACGCGATTTTGCTTTGCCATCGAGCCTCTACAGCTTTCATTTTTCTTATATCTCCACTAAATCCTGCAATATAAGCCACTAAAACCCATGGTCTTTTGGCAGGATCACAAGACTCAATAGCTCCATATCCAGAATTATGTTGCTTCAACCGGTTTGGTAGGTCTCGAGTGTAGCCAACATACACCGTATGACCCGTTTTAGCACTCGCAATGATATATACAACTCCACTAGCATCGTTGGGCAAGGGAACATCCTTTGGCCTGAATGGATGCGAAGAAATACGAAACGGCATGGTTTGCATGTTTGTATCGGTAGCTGATTCCAGTACGTTTACTACATGATTCATGTAATCGTCGTACTGATTCCTTTTGCGCAGTCCATTTATGATAGCATCAATGTTTTTTTTTGCATCACCAACAAAGATAAGTTCCTGAGCCATTGTCACACGAGACAAAAGCACCACAACCATCGCACGCTCCCACAAAGAACTTTCCTGGAGCTCAGTAGCAACGCCACTAACCGTATGACCAATTGCAGAATGAATTGTTGACGCAATATTCAGGACAAGAGCGTATTGTTTTCGTGTTGCTTTCACTCCATGCGACCACACAGTTCGAGTGTATTGGGGAGCGGAACCCACTGTTGTTTCCTTCCATCCTGCAAGCATCAAATCGTTTTTACTTTTGTTGTGGATGTCAATAGTTTTGACGCCTGGGGGCGCTACCATGATATGTATATCTCTGAAATTGTCTATATCATCTTGTGATGGCTCTTGTACAAGTACACCAAGCTGGGTAGCATTGAAGCGTCCAGGGTTGTTGTAAGTAAATTGGTATATGCCTCCTTTGTAGAGATCAATGGCCACAGGCTCAGAACATTTGCGACTCAGATACTGGCTTACTGCTTTGGAAGCTTTGATAGGTTCTCCGTGACTTTCCATCGGAGTCATTACGTCATCTGCACGAGCTGTCACAATGGACTGTTTCAAGGCTTTAAGTTGCTTTCGTTTGGCAGACATGAAATCACGCACTGCTTTGTCTTTTTGATCACGCTTAGGGAAAACTCGGAGAATAGTGTCTGTGATTAAGGGATCATCCCATCCAGACACAAAAGTGCAGTGGGACTGTAGGAGAAGGCGAAGTTGTTGCAGCTTTTTATCTCAAAAGGCTTGGTCAGATGTAAATATTCTGGCAATTTCATTGATTTCTTTCAGGACAGGACAATTGCCACATCGCACATAATGCTGTAATCTGCCGAGAGAAAATGTAGTAAGGACGTAAGGCGAAAGAAGGAATGGCAACACCTTAATTGGTTGCAGTTGAACCTGATCCAGTGTTCCAATGACAAGGACACCTCCCATAAAGATTGCAGAATCTCTGATGCGTCGTAGAATGATGTCCAGAACAGCTAGTAACTCGGCGCTGAGTTGCCCCATTTCGTCAACGAATAGCACATCCAACGCTCGTAGTAGTGCAAGCATTTTTGGGTTTCGTTGCAGCGACATTACAGCTATTTCTGCCATACGATGAGAGGTTTTGCCTTCTCTGACAGCCAGTTTGAATAATTTATGAAAATGCTGACCACCTAAGAGAAACGCTCTGTCAGCTAGTACAGCAGTTGTCATAGCGGTAAGGCCTTTGCAGAGTGAATAAAGAATGGAGTGACTCATGCAGTGAGTTTTTCCGGCACCTGGAGGTCCAGTAATCAAATAATTCTTGGTGGCGACATTTGTACAGTGTGTATATGCATCAATAGTTTCTGCAACTTGGACCTGTATACGCTTTTGTTCAGTAAAAGATTCAGTTGTTTGTCTACAAGTTTTTGGAAGATGGTTGGTCCACACTATCGAATCCGCCTTGGAAGCTCTGAGTAGTTGAGCTCGAGAAGGGAACATCCGAACCATAGCGTCGTTACCATACACTCGCTCCAATGATTCCATTGTAGCATCCACCAAGATTTGTTTACATTCTGCTTTGTAGTTCAAAATATCTTCATTGTGCTCTTCAACCAAGGATGTATAATAGTACGGTGGCATTTCGTCCACAGGGATCTGATCACGTAAAATGACCTCTGTGAGAATAGTGTAAGCACTAACCACGTACTCGTCGAATTTTTTGTTCCCTATGGGGTAGTACCTCAGTTGATCTTTGATCCAGGCTTTAACCAAATTGTCCACGTCACAAGCGCTATATTCTTCCTTATAAGAAAGAAGCCCTGCAGAACAGAATGCATTCCTCATGGAAGAAGACGTCCATAAATCTGATTCAGTGAAGAATCTACCCATACTTAACAGCAGATGAATGATGAATTTAGATGCATTCGTCGGTCGCACATTGGAGAATACCACTATGGGTAGTTGATCACTTGGATTTCCAGATATGAACTTAGGCCGTAAATTTCGCCAAGACGACTTCTGTACACGTCCTAACTCACCAGACTGAGCGGTCAATTGTAGCCTGCACAGCTGGGTCAACAAATTTTTCATGGGACGATAACTTGAGTCTTCAGAAGGGAAGTAGTAACCAGAATTGATCTTCTCTAATAGGATAGCAACTCCATTAGCTCGGAGCTTCACTTTGTGACCCAGACAATCAATCCAATAAGATTGCTCCAAGTTCCGTTTTAGATAGTCACCAATAGGTGCGTCTTTCTTGACCACAGAGTGCTTCGTCCTCTCAAATAAGCGAAAATAGTCTTCCATTTTATTGATAGGAAGCAATTCGGGAGGACGCAGACCAAATACCGTGACGTGGTCAATTGTAACTGCTGACTCCATCTGGTCGTCCAATATGACAACCTGCGAAGCTGTCATACATCGAAAAGAATCCACTCCAAAATATTTTCTCGGAAAGAAACAGAAGGGTTGACTATGTCAAAAGAATCCTTTGGCCCATCATCATCGTCCACTCTGTCGGCGGGGGGAACTCTTTCTAGACCTGGTCACTCTCCCAAAGGAAGTGTCGAAACTTTCACAAATTCCATGTTGGTATAAATTTGTGGGTACGCAAGGATAATTTGCATCATTTCAGTAGACGCAAGGGCCCTTCCTTTTGGCCGATTTTCATGCCTACTTTGTTTGAGTTTCTTTGCTTCATTAATGGCCGATGATGTAATTTTTGTATTGTGCAAGAATACATGTTCCGCTTTGATTGTTTTATCATCACTGTGCTTGGCATGGAAGGCCACATAATTATTCTCGTCAATCTTGATTAGGTACTTCACCACGTACCTTGACGTACCAAAACTCGTGCAAATTTGTACATTCATAGAAGATCTCGTAGCAGCAAAAAGCCGACCAATCACAGGGGATATTAAACCCTCTCCGTGTCTGGCAACCGGAAAGATGCGCTTGGCTTTGAGAAAATCTTCGTTTGGTCCGAAGATACCTCCCGTCTCTGACAGAGGCCGGCATAGTTCTAACCGCTCCATGACATTGGTAGCAGCTTTGCTGTGGTTCATGTGTAGATTTAACTGGAAAAACTTCGTTAGATCTGTGCTGATCTTTCTGGTATCAGGAACTCGGCATCTTAAATCATTTTGCCCCGGGCCAGTTCTCCTTTTGCAACGAGCAGAGCAGGTGTGCATAAGAAATTTACGACCCTGCTCCTTCATTCGTTCGAAGTCCTCCCAATTATCCAAGATACCTTCATCAATGAAGCTATCCACTTCGTCCAAACCTACTATCTCTTCTATATGTCCACGGATCATTGACTCGATTGAAATTTTTCCTTCTGGAGTGTTGTATGCGGCAGCAAGGGTGATCAGAAAGTGTAGATGACACAGATTCCCAGCATCCCCTTGGTACTCATCACGACAAAATATTTTCAATACTTCGCCGAATGGTTTCTCTGGACTTTTGAGTATGTACCGAAGCAGAATTGTTTTAACTTCTAGCCAGTTGCGACAAATTAGAGACATAGAAGCTTCCACAAGGCTATGCTGGACCTCACGCTCCTCATTACTACTGAGTTCCTTCTCCTGAGGAAACCACTTCCGTCGATATAGTTTGTAGTTTTCAAGTGCTTCTCCATCGTCAATGTATCTCTTAATATTGCGAACTCCAAAATGCTCCCTTTGGTTGCAAGTTAGGGTAACAAACAAGGTACTAGGGTTATCGCGTTCAGAAGCACAAAGATTGTGAACATTTTGACGACTGTCTATTTGGTCGGTGATAAAGTCATCTTCTGCATTTCGTGCCTTAATACCAGCTGGACCCAGACACTCCTCGAAACCCCTACTTAAGACCACACGTGTATCCTGTCCCTCTAATGCTCCATTAGCCAAACTGTCAAACTGGAATGACAGATACCGCCCATCAGTACTGGACGTGGTGCCAATAGTCTTGACGCGTGTACGCGCATGGTCAATAACACTGGCCACATTGAATTGTTTTCTAGTAGCGTGTTGACAAAAAAGAGGTGTAGGCATGGAACCTAAGATGCCACCTTCAGAAGAATGAGGCAAACACCAAAATATAGATGGAAACAAAATCCCTTCCAGGTAGACAATAGGAACTGTTCCTATTTCGCCAGAAGAAACAACTCTTTCAATCAAATGGCGCTCTTTTCTGGATGCTCTCATAGTGGAGTCCCGTCGTACCAGCATAGTGCCTACATTGTTCAATAGAACACTTGTTCCCATGGTACCTATTGTCGTGTCAAAATCCAGTGACTTGGCTGCAACGTGTGTAGTTGGTACACATGGCTCAAAAGCATTATGATCCTCCTCTGCATCTTCTAATTTCTCCAAGTCAAGCTCCAAATCTCCTGCTAGATGTTCCTCACCTGTATGCAAGAATGCCGGGTCTAATTGACTGTTCTCAGTGTCTAATCTGTCAGAAGCAAGATCGACGTCACAGTAGTTGTTACAGTTGTCGCAGTTGTTGCTATTGTCGTTGCTGTAATTGTTGTTCACTCCTTCAATATCATTTTCTCCTCCTTCGTCATCAGCACTGTTCGCTACTCCTTCACAACGTGCTTGAAAACAGATTTGAATGGGGCCTTCATCACCAAGACTATTGAAGCAAGACTTACATAGTCCCGTCATACACCTTGGACAGGACATTGGTACTCGAGGAACTCTTTCGGCAAATAATCGTTTGAAAAATGGGGGCATCGTAACGCGCCGTCACCTCGTTTGCATTTTGAAGTCACCAGAGGCACTTCGTGCCTTTTACATACACGCTTAGTCTGGCCTCCAATATATTTCAGATACTCTTTTTTATAAGCATCTATGGACACAGACGAGTGCCGCACGTAAATGACAACGTCAAAGAAACCTACTGTATTATCAGGAAGGCATTGGATCTTCATAGGACGGGATCCGCGTTCGTACTTCCACCATCCAGAAAAACAAGAGGATCCGTGTCGCATAAACATGCCTCCTTTCCATTTCGCTGGAGATTGTCCATGTTGACTCCAAGCAACAAATCTAAGTTCAAATCGAGTTCCATCCGGTCTCACAATTGATTGAGGGATCTTTCCGACCCAAGCACCTTGAAACAAACAAATTTCACAAGAACTATTACTCCCACACAACGAACCTAACGTTGCACCAATCCGCGATATCTGCGGAGGAAACTCCATAAAGTGAATGCGATTATTGTCAATTTCCTTTTTCAAGACACACCGAATGTGGCTGCCACAAAATCCATGAGGGAAGTTCGCACCACAAAAGGCGGACATCAATGACATCAATCCAATAGGTTTGGTATTGCTATCCCGCCTTGTCATATAGAAGGGATGCCATCTTGAACAGCGCTTCCTTTGAACTTAGTAACCTTTTTCGAGAGAAACAATAGCATATAAGCATGCCACTCTTTAGTAGAACAAACACTATCACTGATGGCACGCCATAACTTCGGGATATTCACAATAGCATTTGCAAGATGACAACACAAACGCATATCTTCTCCTCCACTGGCACGTGCAGACAAGTCAAAATAGAAAGGCGTAGCACCATGTTTGTTGTTGGGATGGATCCTGATCAGATCACTCGGCCATGGACGCTTGCACACTCGGGCCGTATCCTTGCCTGTGTCTACCTCGATGGTTGCAGAGGAAGCAATCATTCTTTGTAAAAGAACGCAGTCATGAAGAGTCATCATTGTGCCTCCCTTGGACATTTCTTCGATGACGTCATTGCAAGGAAACAGGTGTTGGGCTCTGGCAGCAACATTGTCGGCAAACTCTTTGGGCAGCACACCCGTCCTTTCAAGACGGTTTACCAAACCTTTGATATCATCTCTTCCAGCAAAAGATCTGGCTTCGTTTAGATCCGTCAAATGAGAGGCAAAGTCAAATCTTCTGGTCTCTGAAACCATAGCGGAATCAACACCAGTAAAGTTTGCCCTAACCTCTAGCAAACGATAGCCATGAGAATAAACGTGTGGTTTGACAGGCTTTAAAGTACGAGCCCTTAGCACAGCATGACTCAAAGACTCCGCGTTCTTTGCCGGCAAGGACATCCGAGTTTTTGGGATGTGGAAGTAGCATGATTTGGTTCCTCCATCATGATCTCTGCAAGTCATGAAAAAAGGACCTTGATTTGGAATATACACAACAGAAGGATGCACACTCAACTTAGGGTTGTAGTACCAAGCATCAATCCATTCGCTGAAAAAATCTTCTCGGCTACTCAGCATCTTTTCATACTTCGCCTTCCCACAAACCTTGCCCGCAAACTCCAGTTCGGGGAAATACCTGCTTACAACAGCATCAAACTCAACAAATCCATCATGTTGCATATATTCTGTACATCCCCACGGGCAGAGGACCAAAGGGGCTAAATACTCGTTACAGCCACGCTTCAACTGTCCCAGTTTCAGTTCCTTCAGAGTGGTACAGAAGTTCGTTCTTGCCACCGTAATATCTTTAGTTACAGGCGCCGCAAATGTATCACAGGTGGTGTTCAATTCTATCCCATCATAGAACGAATGGTATTGCAACCTTAGACCATCAATCCAGTACTTATGCCAGCAATCAGGGACAAAATTGAGGGCCTTGCACCCATATTGCCTCAGAATGGACTCATGAGTAAGAAACTTCCATGTATATACAGGCCATATAGAGACCCACTTAATATAGCCTTTGTTTCCTCGACGCCTTTCAACGCCAACCTTTGTCAGAATGTCCGAACATTCAATACATAATAGTACCGAATCCTCCCGAACGTCACTCCTCCTGAACGTCTTCCAGGTTGACCGCATATGCAAATCCGCAACCAATACCCTCTGAAGACGAACAATATAATGGTTACAGTCCCCTTCAGTGACCTTTTTCTTAAGCTGTCTTCTAAAGCAATTTCGGCACAACTTGGAACGTTTAACCGAAGCCTTCATTTTGTTCCGTGTGACACCACGACAGGCAATAGGCTCTCCTACCACGTGCTCGCCCTCATGTTCATATTCCTCTTCCTCTTCGTCGGTCTATACTCGTCACTGCTGCTTGTCAAACTATCAGAGTCAGTATCGGACATCTCACATTCCACAGCAGACAGATCTCCAATACTTGAGTCTGAACTGACAGAGATGACATCAGACACCCTAGACAAGTTCACAACATCAACAGGTCTACTTATGACAGGATTTGGCATAGTAGCATCGTCAACAACATGAACACAACCCTCCTGCATACTAGCAGAAGTCAAACAGATCTTCCTTTTTTTTGCCGAATCACAATCATCATTTGATACAAGGGTAATTTCACACATTTCGTGATGCCTGCGTTTGTTTTGATGCAAGGATTCTGTCATCGTGCACAACAAGCGGTATCCTTCTTTCGAAGAAAGCTATTGCAGCTAGTACACCTCCGTTGCAACACACAAGACATGATTCCCTCCTAAATTGTGAGGCAATCCAGAGAAAATAGCTGCGACGGTTGACGAATTTAACTCGACCGTTTAAAACGCTAAATATGGGTCGCCACTGACAGTTAACGAAATCTCAGAATAGATAGCAAAAATGTGGCTTCACACAATCATTTTTTGACCATGCCAACAGTTGCGAACATTCTACCTCTCATTATGGCTATAGCCAAATGCCTAACAAGGATCGAAGACCCTGCAAAGATAACACAACACCAGACAGCCAAGCAATTGCAGATATGTTTTTCGGCACTAGATGATCTATGCAAGATTATTGGAGTCTCTTTAGCCTATATTATAGTCCGCAAAATGGAGATAAACTCGATGAAATATAACCAACAAGCTTGTCTCGACTACACAACAAACCATGGTGTAGTTCCAAAGTATATGCAACTAGCAAACATAACCGGTATCTATCATGACAATCAGATCAAGATGTTCGCCACAAAAAATCCACCATACACTGCAACGTATTCAACGAATTCTTTAGAGTACTCATTTCCGTTCATTGCAACCAAAGTGGCCAACTTTGCAGTTGAAAGGGGCTGGCAGGACAAGTACAATTTTTCTATGATTATGATTGCTCTGCTATCCGAGTTAGGAGAACTAGCGACAGCCATAGAATGGCAAGAAGCAGAGACAGACATCGCCGAAAACTCCATCATCCTAGATGGCATCATGCGCGAGATCGCTGATGTCGCCATTTACCTAGTGCATCTCAGCCGAATCGCAAAAATCCCAAATCCCTTTTCAGCAGAAGCTCACTTTGCTGATCTTTGACGGATTGTTGAATGGAGCCCAAGACGCCTTAATAGGAGAGTATGAGAGAACCGAGTGGCCATAGGTTCATTAATCTCATCGTCGCTTCCAACAACCAGTGCACCATGGGCACACTCAATGAGACGACGCTTAGTCAAGTACGAGATCTGTACCGTTTAATTAATTAAATTTAGATAATCGGAATTAATCCAGAGCCGTCTATTGGTAGAACAGGCAGTGTTAAGTACGAAAATCTCCCCCCAAACTAAAAAAAAAATGTATAATGCTTTTTCCTCCTTCGGGAGGTTTTTTTTCTAATTCAATAGGTTATGAGCCCAATGAATATAAATAGAATACAGTAGTTGTAATGGTGTAATTAGTACTTCAATGGCTATACCAACACCGACCAGGCTTGAAAACGCGCAAAGAATGCCATGGTCAACAGTCCGAATTTGTGTTCACAGGATCATGCAGGTCACTAGCTAGACCTGAATATCGAAGAGGCGAGTGCGTCGCATGAACTCCACCTCCTTTTCGTAAAAGGCCAACCAATCCGCCTTCTCCACGTCCGTCCAATCATCGGGAACACCTTGGGCCCCGTACGTATGCAACAAATACTTGCCAAGAATAGCAATCTTCACGCCAAAAGTGTCCGTCACATTATCGATTTCTCCCATGAGAGCATCCTGATAGTTCGCGACGACGTTGGCTGGGCTTTTCTGATTGTCAGCAAACTCGTCCAAATCATCGCCGTGCACTTTCACAGCAATCATGAAGCTATCGAATGTCATCTTGAGATACGTCCTACTAGTAGCGTATGAAAACAGCGTTCGCACCAACAAACAGAGACAACAACAACAAACAAGCCGTGTAAGTTTACCTTCCAAACTCCTTCCAAGATTCCGACGAGAAGAATTATGAGACGATCTGCCTAGAGACCCTCACTATTCATAATTCGCGCTCACAAAATCAAAAAAAACAAGCCTGCCAGAAATCATTGAATACATAATTAGAGAAACATTATTAATTCAAATCAAAGCATTAGAAAAACACGAATGGTTTAAAAATCAAACCCCCAACAACCAATTTTCGTTTCACCACACAAAGACATAATAAATTCGCATTCAATAACTCTCCATTAAGGACGTTGCGTAACAAATCCCGACCCCTATAGTAGATCAATTAACCACCGTAACGCCTTCCCACTGGGCCAAAACCTGTTGCCTTCCCACATCAACAACACTCAAAATCACCATACAAGCCATACATCCCTGCTAACAACATTAGTCAGCACCACCACAAGCTACAATATCCATCACCTACAAGACATAACTTATACAACAACGCAACAAAATGGACACAAGCAGAACACAATATATGCGAAAGAACCTACGACCGTTATAAACCAATACAAAAAATAGAAGTATACGCACGCCAGATACCACTAAATTTCGTCTATCGCAACAACCATACCCGAAGCATCTCTATAGCACAGTCAACCAATACAACCCAACAAAAACCCTCGACTAGTTCCAAAGATATAGCAGAAAAACAATAAAACAGGTGCGATTTTTTTTTTCCCAAACGAACCTATCCCTATATTCATGGAACCCGATCACTTTGTGCGCACATGGGCCCCTCCCCTGTGCGCGATGGCACCCGACGGCCTTCCACGTGTAAGCCTTCCCGGCTGGCCATTGGAACTAGAAAGCTATCCTAAAGTGAACCAAAATTCTAAGCTAATCGCTGTCTTGCTACCGGTATATAAGTGCTTTAGGCTGCAGCAGTTGACAGTAAATGCATGGTCGATCTGCTCTGGTCGTCCTCGGTGCTTTCTGCCCCCTCCGATTCGCCAGAGAGGAGCTTGCTTACATCTCCAACGATCTTGCCCGTCTCCGAAACTGCCTTTCCTGTGCCTTTCACAACAACCTTTCCTGTCTTTTTTACGATGTTGCCAGTGACATTCACAGTTCCCTTCATAACGTCTTTGCCGATTCCTGTTGACTTGGAGACAACCTTTCCAGTGGCATGCACAGTTCCCATCATAACGTCTTTGCCGATTCCTGTTGACTTGGAGACAACCTTTCCAGTGGCATGCACAGTTCCCATCATAACGTCTTTGCCGATACCTGTTGACTTGGAGACAACCATTCCAGTGGCATGCACAGTTCCCATCATAACGTCTTTGCCGATTCCTGTTGATTTCGAGACAACCATTCCAGTGGCATGCACAGTTCCCATCATAACGTCTTTGCCGATTCCTGTTGATTTCGAGACAACCATTCCAGTGGCATTCACGATACCATTGGTTCCTTTTACAACTTCTTTGCCAATCTTTCCCGTTGATTTTGAGACAATCTTTGTGGTGGCGAGAAAGCCTGATGTCAAGACGGCCATGCTCTTTTCGAACATAACTTCTTCTGTTTCAAGGGGCTTCTCCTGTTCTTGTGCCATATCGCACGAAATGTCTGGAATGTCGACTTCCTCCTCCTCTTCTTCTTCTTCTTCGGTACCATCGAGCTGTGCCATGTCATCAAGTCTCGAAGCCAGTTGACCTGCCATGCGGCTGTTGAAGCTCTTTCTTGTCCCACCGCGAGCGCGCGTTCTGGGCATGGGGCTGGTTCCGCCGCGCACGGGTGAAACACTAGGTTTTCGCCGATTGGATGTCTCAGGGCCAGGGAACTTTGTCATCGACGACGACCGCGGGCGTGATCCCCTGCCTTTAGGACTCTCGTTAGTTCGATCAGCACGACGTCGTCGATTGGCACTCTCGCGTCCTTCACTGGGTCGACTGGATGTCGCAAGGCGAGGCACTTTATTCAACGACGATGAACGCGGACGTGGTGATGCCTTGCCTTCATAAGTCTGGTCAGTTCTCACGGTTCGACGTCGGCGACTGCCTCCAGAAGCCCTTGTCTTTGTCTGCTCTGTGCGAGGAGATCCATGTTCTCTCGACTTTGACCTTGACTTGTAGGACCCCTTCGTCTCACCGTGGCCCCGAGACGGCCTCGTAGGTCTGGGACTGGTAGACTGACGCATCCGGCGAGAAGCAGAATCACCACTTCGTTTGCAGGAAACGGATCTTGTGCGTTGCGCGGCATCGAACGGCTTTCGCATCTTCCTCAATCTCCCGTCGCTAGCGTTACGGGGAGGAAGCATATGCGACTTCGCAGGCTGCTTCTCGGCCGCTATACCCTTCGTGGCTTTAGTTCCGTGTTCACTGCCAGACAACGAATCAATTCGCCTTGCAAAACACTTGGGTACGCTTCTCTCATGCTTCGCATGCTCACTGCATGTCGACAGCTCGTCACGCTTGGGCCGCTCCCTTTTGACACTGTCGCTGCTGCGCACAATTTCGTCACTCGTGGGTTCATCCAACTTGTGATTATCATGCTGGACAACATCAGAGGAAACAATATGATCGGAGTCATCATCTGGCTCCGTCCCTTCGACGACTGCGACTGCGTTCACAATGGCTCGAAGATCTGCTTCGTCAAGGTCGAACTCCGATGCGCTGTCGTCTGTTGCAAGGTCGCTGCCATCGCTGTCGTTGCTATCGTCACTGTCGCTGTCTATTTCATCTCCCATGTACAAACTAGCCCTCGAACTGTCCTCGCGCTCAGATGAGTCGTTGCTCCGAGCAAATTCAAAAAAACTCTTTGCATCTTGATTCAGAAATACATGTGTTGCCATCAAAGGCTTGCCATGATCGTTGTTGTGCTCTGTTGAAGCACTGCTTGTGGTGTCAGCCATGGTATTGCTACTAGTACTAGTAGTAGAGGTGCCAGCCATTGTTGTTGAGGTCCTTTACAAGTTTCCGGTTTCAAATTGTGGAGAGTACGATAATCTAATCTAATCTGAGTCTGCACCCAACCAAAAGTGAGATGGCACCAGTGGTGATGCAAGTGGCCACTGGACAAGAGCAATGACTTCACTTGGACGAAGGAATTATTTCGAAGACTTTTCACTGGATTTTGGGAACTCGCGTGGGACCAAACATCGCAATAAATTGTTTGACATGTAGACATTTTATTCGCTCTTTACTACCAGGTAGGTGTACTTGTAAAAAGCTTTGCTGGTGGAAAAATTGAATCGAATCGAATCGAATGATGAATCTACGGACACTGCAACAAGAAGGATGTGGCTGGGTTCTGATGTTTTGGTTTTTACGGTAGCCAGAACGTCTTTCGCCGGTGGCTCTTGACGTATTATTCTAAAGACAGGGGGTAATGGTAGAGAGCACTACATACAGCCTGTGCATATGAACAGGGAGGATGCCCGCAGATTGAGAGCAAGGCCAGCCATTTTTTTGGCCTGAATTCAAAAACGTCCAATTCCTGTGCAATCGAACAGGATAGCGACGCCTGTTCAATTGCACAGGAAATGGACGGCCTGTGCAATCGAACAGGATAGCGACGCCTGTTCAATTGCACAGGAAATGGATGGCCTGCCTGTTCATATGTACAGGAGGCTGTACATACAGGAGCTCGACGTCCTGTTGAAATGCACAGGAATGGTGACGTTTTTTTCTGGGTAGGCTTTCTCATTACTCAACAGTAACAAATAGATCTGCCATTACGTTCAGCATTACAGTCAAGCATGTCCTCTGCGTTCAGTCAAGCTGACGATCAACTCTCCTCTGGAGCGTTCCTCAATCGTGCATGACTTTAAATCTGACCCTAATTTAGGGTCGGTTTGGGGAATCCGTCCCAAAATATAAGGACTTTTTTCAAACCCGACCCTAAATCGAAACCCGACCCTAAATTAGGGACGGTTTTTCAGAAACCGTCCCTATTTTAGGGTCGGTTTCGAAACCCGACCCTAAAGGGAATCCGACCCTAAATCCGACCCTATTTTATTCAAGTAGCTGGCTCTCTCAAAGACAATGGAGATAGAAAGGAAATCAATCTTATTCCAACACTCGGTCACAATAGTCGCAACCGATCGGAGCCCAACACTGCTATTGTGCACTGGCTCCCAAAGGAATTCTCTACCAATACTGCTGAGTTTCGCACTAAAACGCTTGCACTAAAACGCTTGCACCATATTTTGTCGACGCTTGTCGTGCTTCTGGCTTTGTTGTACGACTCAGGGGTTTCGGGAAATCAAAAGATATTGCTGCCTTCAACCAGCATGCAGAAGCACGTCCGATTTCCTGTGCAATTGTACAGGATCCGACCTCCTGTACAATTGCACAGGAATCACGTCGATCCTGTACAATTGCACAGGAATCACGTCGCCTGTACAATTGCACAGGAATCGCGTCGCCTGCCAGGCCAAAATTTGACTGCAGGCTGGCTCTCTAAAAATCCTGTTCATATGCACAGGCTGTACCGGTATGTAGTGCTCTCTACCCCCAGTCACCGTTTACTGAGTACTGTACCGGTACATCCTAGTTGACAGAGGATACGAGGGCGAATGGCGAAATGAATGGAATGCAATTGAGCAATCCCTTTTCTTTTACATGTAAGATTCTGGCTCAGTGGTACGATTTTTGTGTGTGTGATCGTGGCTGGTGGTTTGGTGTTTGGTGGTCCTCGACCTCACCTTGCTTGGCACTCCTGGTTGTGTGTTCATCAAATGCCTACTAGTACAGCTCCCCTACTAGCTAGCAGTCTACATACATGTTGCCAGCCAGTCGAACCTGGCATCTGAGGCTGATTGAAGATTCGGCCGATTGAATCATTCGATCTTTCCATTCGCAATCAGCTAGTAGAATTGAATTCACGTTTCCCACACGCACTCCAAGTACTGGTTTCCTTCCCTCTTCAAGAGTGCGGACGACAGAGGCGGCGGCTGCGAGTCGAGTCGAGGGAGACTCTTCATGAAGTTTGGAAGCTGGCTGGCCTGCCCTACACTGTACCGGTACCCTGCCCAGATACTTACTGGCTGTAGAATGAGTGCCAACATCTCACCAAAGCTACCAGCCTACCGTAGCTATTAGAACCGGTAGTCCAGCAAATAATCAAATTCATCTTTTTGCAATACATAATTATTAGTATCTATCTAGTGAACTCCAACAGATGACTACGCATAGTAGTACTGTGGTGAACCACAAAGAATAGAAGGCAGCATATGAAATGGGAGCACGTCAACAAGACTTGTGTGTGGTCTCGGGAGGAGAATCGAGGGCCGATGAATGCTCAAGCTGCGAGAGCACTCTCATCACTTCGATTAAGTGGAGCGTGTCCATCGCCAACACCCAAAGCCAAATTGGCCGTCTGGGTGGCGGTATTTATTGCAGTGTTCCCAGCAGTTGAAGCAACATTGAGAGCGGTGTTTCCGGCAGTCGAGGCCACGTTGAAGGCAGTATTACCAGCGGAGGAGGCCACGGTGAAGGCCGTATTTCCGGCGGTTGACGCCACGGTGAAGGCCGTATTGCCAGCTGTCGAGGCTACAGTTGTTGCAGCTCTAGAGGCAGTCAACGCAAAACCAGCTGCCAGCTTCGCCGGGGCAAAGAGGGCTGCAGCTACCACCGACTCCTTACTTTCCTCCTCTTCCTTCGTTTCCTCCTCGGGTTCAGCCGCAGGTTCTTCCTCTTTGGCCTCATCCAGCTCCTCTGAATCATCGGCATCCTCATCAGATTCCCGCTGTTGGATCGCTTGCTGCAGTTGCATCTGTCCCAGGTCGGTGCCGGTTGCGTACCGTCCCTTTCCTCCTCCTCGCGAGCGTCCACCCCGGGACTTATCCACCCGGCGCCTACCATGACGATCTTCTTGTGCCTTGGTACGATGTAGTCCCTCACCACTCCTATGCCTGCGTACCCTTGACCCGGACAAGCGCTGTTTGGGTTCCGCATTCTCGTTGCTGTCCTCTTTCTCACGGTGTCGTTCCATTTCGGCCTTGGGATTTGTGCTGCCCGTCCTGCGAACACGCTGACGGGGCGTCTTCTTTTTCTCGTCGTTGACATTCGAACGAGGGGCCGACAATGAGCGAGAAACCCCTTTGCCTGCACGGGATGGTTTCTCGTCTTTTGTATTGTCCGTGACACCACGGCGTGGTGAAGCCTTCTTGCTGCGACTCCTCTCCGCCCCCCTCTTCCTCTCAGCATGGCGCTGCCTTCCCGAGGACCCGGATTGCTCTTCATCAGGGCTTTTGTTCCGATCGCTTTCGTCTCCGAGAAGTGATCGATTGTGCCTACTTCGCTCTCTGCGTTCGTCCCCATTCTTATCCACAGCACCATTTGGACTTCGACGAGGATTTCGCTTGCTGCTGCGGCTTCTCTCTCTACACCTGCTGGAGGACCTCGTCGCTTCCCCACTTTTTCCCACATCACCTTCCTTGCGACGAGGGGATCGGCTCTTGCGGCTGCTCTCTCCTTTTCTTCGGCGTTGGGAAGAAGAGCGTCGGGACGAAGAGGTACTATGATGGCTGGAGGAGCCAAGCTCGTCCGTGTCAGTGACATCGCTATCTTCATCAATGTCAGATGCATCAAACTCCTTAATGCGCTTGTCTGTGGAGCGACTCTTACCCCTCCTGGAACCCCCACTCTCGCGCTTCTTTGCCACGTCACTGTCTCGCTTGGTCTGCTCCAAGGCGTTGGCCATTCCAGAAGGAAGAAGAGAAGAGAGCCTTTGCAGCTCTCCCACTTCCAAATGCGATGCCTCTTCTTCGTCTTCGTGATCCTTCTCGGCACTATCGGAGGGACCCGACAGGACTTTGCAGATCTGGTTCAACTTTCGCTTGGACTCTTCACGTTGCAGCATGGCATCTCGGAGCGACTCGCTGCGCTGCATCTGCTGCTTAGCTCCGCTGCTTTCCCTCTTTGCTTGGGCAAATGCATCCTTAACCCCTGCAGGGATCATGGAAGATATCTTTTGCAGCTCTCCCACTTGAAGATGATGGTCGAGTTCCTCGACCTCAGGAGCGGAACCCTTCATCATCTTGACAATTTCTCCCAGCTTCTGTTGGGTATCCATTTCAGACGCCTGAACGCCACTCTTCGGAATATTCTTTAGAACCTGGGAGTTCGTCGACCCGTCGTAGCGATGCAAGGAAGAACTAATGTCGGTGTTCATTGACACAATGGTCATTGTGAGCTTTTTGTTTGTCGTGTTTCTCGACGCAATAGCTCTAGATTTCTAGATTTCTATTGAAACCAAACTGCGATTATGAGACCGAAGAGTGGCAATCTGATCAGGTTGTTTTGGTGATACCGGTATCAATACCGGTAAGGTTTTGGGGCGGAGGAAGAAGCTTTCAGATCACCAAAATCGTTAGCACGGGTTGTTATTTCGTTATTTCTCCTGTATCTGCTTTCTCCTGCGCCTTTTGCCGCCTTGCCTTGTCTCCTCGATCAATTAAATAATTGAGCTCTCCTTGCTTCTTGGGTGTGGATGCTGCTCGACTCGGCTCGGCTCGACTCGACTCCTCCAGACTGAAGACCCTCAACGGAGGTACATGTATGTAATAGAACGTTCTAGCTACTCAGTAGTAAGTATTGTACGTGTACGGTACGATGCACGATGGAAACACTGAAACACTGGAATTAATTAGACTAATGCGTTGATGAAGGGCTTCCCTAGTGATCCTTCACTGCGCTCTTTTTGTAGGATTTGAGGTTCTCTTACAAATAAATATTCATAAATCTGGCTTTGAAGTAAAATGATTTAACGCAGATCTCAAGCAGTAAATAGATTGTCAACAGGCCAAACCAGGCTTTATTGTCAGTTGCCGAGAATACCCAGGAATGAGTACGAGAAACCAGCCAGAACAGGGCAAAAACAGCTGAAAACCAGACAGCTCAGAGTAATAAATTCAATTTTTAGAAGTGTAAATTTACTTAATCCGTCATTTTTTGCCGAATCGTACCGGTAGGCTATGATCGTAGATCGTAAACATGTACGACGATACCTACAGTATGAACATAGCTTCCGCATCAAGTCGCCGCTGATTTCCAAGAAGGATGTTGTTGATGGCGTGGTAGCCAGTAGGTCGCTCTTGCTCAGTGCACGCAGTCTACCTGGTAGAAGCAGCACAAGCACCGATACCGGTACCAATCCGTACCGATACAGCGATACCAGGTACAGGCGGTAACGGCGATTGAGGCCATCTCACATGGAGCAAACAGAGCAACAGAGCAACAGAGCAACAAGAAAAGGGGACGATAGTACTAGCTTCGGAACAATTGGAATGTCCACTCGCCACTTTTTACTGGCTACTAGCTCACCAAGCTAACAATCTAATTCGCTGCTCAGTAGTTTCTATTTATGTTCTGGCAATTGAGAAAGAAGAGGGTGGAGGTGGAAATCATGCAAGTATGGCTCAAGGCATACTAGTACAAGCAGTATGCATAGTAGGAAGTCGGATCAGATCGCTCCCCAAACCATGATAGCAGCAGCCAAGCAAGGCTTTGCTTGGGAACACGAGTTTCACTGGAAATTTCCTTGAAACTAAAATAGTTTCACAAAAACAGTCCCGTTTCGTGATCAGGGGGGTTGAGTATCAGTAGCTGGTTGAGTACTGTACGGTAAACCCAGCAAGATGTGCGTGGAGCTGGGGGCATGGACTATCTGGATCCCCGTTCAATCTGGCATGCAGCATTATTTTCGATTTTTTAAGCTAACTCATCACTTACTTGCCCTCCTGACTTTGGCAAGCCGGGACCCAGCGTCTCTCTCTTTCACACGGCTGAAGCTCCTACAGTACTGTAGGGTATGTCATACTACATGTGGCTACTAGCTAGTACAGTAGTCTAGACTACCGGTACCGGGTTGGTGTTGACGATCTAGTCTATCTATCGATTGAATCGAATCGAATCGAATCGAATCGAATCGAATCAAATCGAATCGAATCGAATCTTCATGGGCGTGGTTGGAGTTCCGATCTGGTCTTGGGTTCTTTGTCTCATTCAGTACTGTCATGGAAGTCCAAAGCTATAAATAACACATATGCATTAACACCATTATATTCACTAAGATGGGGGTTTTCTGATACCCGAGTACCCGTGACAGGGTCACTCCAAGGCACTGTGCTCTAGGGCATTCAAATCCTGATGGGAACAGACCTTCCTCCTTTACAGGAGTTGCTCTGCCTGGTTCAACACCTTGGCAGAGCATGGATGTTCCCAACATTCAAATCTTGTCCATTTGTAGATACACATGGTCTCTGGTCATGACACCAGAGACCCCAGTCCCCCCTCGTCTTCCTCCTGGTGAAGGAACCTCATCGACCGAGTGAGATTTCAAAAGGAATGTGAATATTTCAACAGGAACGGAGTGAGGGCTTCCCACTCCGTATAGATGTCAATCACCTTCCTGTGCCCGCCAGGGTTGTCTCGATCTGTCCTCCATCGATTGATGGTGTTCACCAAGTCTTCTCCTAATTCAAGATTCCGGGCCCTGGCGGTGGCCCCTCGTCTGATTGACCTCCACAAGCCGAACTCTTCTCGGACCTTGACTTTTTCATCTATGACTGCTGGCTTCCTCCGCTGCACTTCTTCCAGAAGTTCGAAGAAGTCTTCTTCGAAATCTCGTAAGCGAGCTGGTCCCCCAGTATCATCTCCAAAAAGGTAGCCTCCGACTCGTCCTCGTCGCTCTAAGCATTGCATGTATCGCTGGTGCCACAGAGCGGGACGTAGTCCGCTGCCACTTGTCTTTGCGACCATAGGGATGCGCAGCGAAGCTGATGCTGAGCGATCCGTCTTGATACTGCCAGCCATCGCGTAATGGAAGTGTGGCTCAGGCTGCTTCCACGCGACCAGGTTCGAGAAACTGTTGCGCGTGCCGTTCATCTCAATGATTAGCATTTCCTCTCCTCGTAGAGCCGTGCAGTACTCGCCATTCCACCATGAACTCATGCGCGAAGAGGTGTACTTGCTCACTTCGCTTGTCGCGTTGTTCCATCGTTCTTCTAGAATAACGTTTACTTCCAGCATGACCTCCAATGACACTGACTTGTCTTGTCGAGTGACCTCGCCAGTTCGCTGTTTGATTCCGGACATGAATCGAGCGAAGAATGGGTGTGAGTGGACGAATTGGTGATCCATACCTTCTTAAGTCCATCAGCTCCGATGGAGTAGCCTTGTCCTTCCAAGCTTGCTCGCGCTGCATTCGACATCGCTGTTTGCGCCTTCCTGTATGTATTTGGCTGCACATACTTTTCGTAGCGACCATATGGATCTTGAGAGCGATCAATAATGGCCACCACGGCCATCATACCCAAAGAATCGTCCAGCGGAAATGGCCCATAGGGAGGGTTCAAGCTCACAAAACCGAACTTGTCCGCCGTCTTCTGTCCTCGCAACATTTCCAATCGGTTGTGGTTCACGATTGTGGATTCTCGACTCCAGAAAGCATCCAAGATTCCCCGCCGTATATGAAGAAGCAATCTCTCATGGGTCACATTTCCAGCTACCGGGTCCCTCTGCATCATGTTTCGGAAATGGCACACCTCACATTGGAAGGAAAGCATCAAGTGGTCACCGTCCCTTGCTTGGAGATACACATTTTCATCCTTGCGAGTCAGGCTCAAACCATCATCGTCCACCTTCTTCCTTGATCTGAAACCATCCTTCTCCTCCAACCTAAAACACCCAGCACACCACGCTCCTCCACACCGGCCGAAGCTACCTCGCCGACTCAAGTAGTTCGCGCAAACTACTCCTGAACCAGCCGTGATGTGCTTCCTGCATCATGGGGCCTTGCAGAAACCGCTCAAGCTTTTCCAGTAGATGGAATCTTTGTTTGAATTTTGGATCAGAAGTGTCAATGGGCAAGCAGACAAAGATAAGAACAGGTTCAAACATGGTATTGCATTCCCAGACACCACAGTCAGACAGCTGGAAGTTGAAATCAGTGGCTCGGCTCAGATGCTTCCGCCAAAGGCGCGTCATCAGCCGGGGTACCACGACGACGTGGAAATGTTGTGATCTCTTGTGTCTTGATACCCCAAGTTGCTCCACCACAACATCAGCGGCAGCCGGAGGTGGAGCCCAGCAACAAGCCTTGTGAGTCTGACCCTGCGTGAACCATTCGTTTGGGCTCAGGAATTTCAAATCTCCAGACAGGTCAAACGCGTCTTCGAGCCAGTCTCGCAAGGGAGGTGAGTGCACTACGCTAAAAGCTAGTGTAAAGATCTTTCGAGTGTTTTGAGTTTGAGAGAATGAAAGTTATATGTTTGATGAGAAGTGAAAGTTTGAGAGATTAAAACTATGAAAACTAATCAACGAGAGAGATCACAATCAAGATCGTAGATCTGAACTCCGGGGAGACTGTAAAGTGTGATAGAGTAGTTTGGGTATAATCCTACTCTCCACAATCCAAAAACGGAACGCGTGGAAGATTCGTCTAGCATTATCTAGTAATGGAATCTCCCCACGCCAGCTAAATATTAGGCGAGTTTCAACCACCTAGTATGACTAGGTCATGAGAACCCTGTCAAACTACAAGAACTCAGCATAGTCGAACTCAAACATCTGGATCGAGTCGAAAGCTAAGAGCCGTATTCATTCCCCCTACAAGTCACAGAAGGCACGACATCAGTCGGACAAGAAAACATAATAAAAGTGCGGTGACTCTCATAGATTGGTGTAGACATGTGCGTCGCAGTGGCAATCCTACAAGGGGATCAGGCCTTGTATGGGTGTAATATACCTTATGTTCCAAGTCTGGGAATCTGTGCCGCCAGTTGCGGTAGCATGTTGAGCCGTACAGTGCCATTGTCTTGACCGGTCTATAGTGTAAGACCTTTGTATTTGGTGACCGTACTTGCGTTCTATACTGTTGAATCATCACGTTATCGTTGACATTGTTTTGATGAGGGAACGCGTGCTTTTCCCTTTCGTTGTTTTGGTAGTCGTTGGCGCGTTCTTAATGTATTCCAGTTTGCTTGAACGGACGTTGTGATGCGTCACGTTGAAACACAGCTGTGCAGCGTGCACAAGGTGTATGAATCGATGGCATTCATTGCAAAGCGAACCGCCGGTAGGACTCCCTCGGATCCGTTCACGAGGTGTCTTGCACTTATGTTTTGAACAGCGATCAAGTTGCGTATGTCTGATGACACGCTCGACCATGGAGTTGCTTGAGGGTTGCGCTGATGAACTTGCGACGAAGTCCATATTCATCCCGCAGGTCTTCTCGACCTCATGCGCGAACTCACCCTCATCCATGATAACCTCAGCCGCCCATGGATACCGAGTAAGCCACGTTTGTTCTAGGACGATGGCTCACTTCGTCTGCTGCCTGGAGCAGATCTCTGCAATCTCGAACCATCCGGTATGGGATCAATCATTGTCAACAATGAAGTGACAGGAATTCTTTTTCTTAGGATCCCCGACGTTGTAGAGGACTATCAGGTTAATACATAGTTCAAGGTATCTCCTCGCAAGCTTTTGGAGGAAATCCCAGCTTACGCGTCTTGGGTTTGTTCATCTGGCAGCTGCGCAACGCTGACATACGGCTGCACAGTCTTGCGCAGACCTTTCCAGTGAGTAGTGTTGCTGATGGTAAGTTCTGTCGAGTCTCGCAGGATGCACAGCACACCATGGTACCATCGACTAGCTTCTTCTGCTTAGTCTTAGGTACGACGATCTTATCGTCCTTAACTACTAAGTGTAAGACTTATCCCCTCTTGGAAAGATTGTCTTCTTGTAGTCGTTTGGCTTGTCCCTGAGGAGTTTCTTGATACGTTGTCGTCTTTCTACGATGTTCGATCTCGGGAACGAGAGAGGGAACTCGCTAGGGAAAGTCCTCTTCGTCTGCAGCCATGAGCTCAGCGATCTCGCTGGCTCCATCTGTTCTGAAGAACCGTCGTTGTTGGAGATGTTAAAGTCTCGACAACGCATCAACGACGATGTTTTCCATTTACTTTTATATTACTTTTTATACCCCTGCTTATCAACTATTTTTTTTTTTTTTTTTTTTTTTTTTTTTTTTTGTTTTTTTTTTTATTCATTCGTATTTTTTCTTTATATCTCGTTTTTATTTGTTTTTATGCTATTTTTTCGAAATTATCTTTTTTTAATATTTTTCATTTATCTTCTTGGTTCGTTCCGCCCTAGTACCAGATTCAGGCCGTATTCTCCCAAAAACCACGCATACGCGATCGGTATTGAAGTTGTTACATGTAATATTTTTGTGGTCCGTATGTACGTCGATCTTCTGTCCTAGAAGAATGTTACGGAACTCTTTTAGAGTTTCTACGATACTGAGAAGTTCCTTCTCGGTAACGGTGTAACGTGTCTGAGCAGGGTTGAGCTTCCTGCTGTAGAACGCGATAGGTTTTCCCTTCTGGGAAATTACTGCACCTAGTTGAGTATCACTCGCATCCGTGTGGATAACGAATGTATCGTTGAAGTCAGGGTAAGCGAGCAAGGTTTCTTTGCTGATGATCTTCTTCATCTGGCTAAAGGCCTTGTCGTGTTCGGCTTCCCATTTCCACTTCGTTGTTTTGGAAGTCAACGAAGCGAGTGGGGCCAGTACATGTGATCGTCTAATCCACATGTCTCGATAGTAGTTCACTAGAGTGATCTGGGCTTTAAGACCGATCGTTTCCCGCAATATTCTCTTCAGGGCTGTATATCGAATATAACACATGTAAAGAGGCGAATCGATAGAA